GGAACTTCCTGAAGGAAGAGGTCCACAGAAAAGCTCAGACTTCCTTTTTTTTCCCAATTAACACGGAGTTTCTTCTTCTCTGATTCCTGTCATGCTACTGACTCGASCATGAAAGGCAGGGGGGAAAACAGCAAAGTTCTTTACCTTCATAGATTTGTACAATCTTTCAGCAAAATACGCAGGTTTATTCCTCAAGCACTTCACTGTAAGGGAGACAAGAACAAAAGAATTAAAGCAAATAAATACWGAAGGAGAAGGTCTTCCAAACCCTTCCATCACTTTCTCAGTGAAGATGTTTATTCTGTACAAATGCAACTCAACAAGCACAGTGCAGACATCCAGAGTCAGTGACCTGCTGTCAATTGATGTCTCCATGCCCAGTGCGCAGCAATAAAATCTCTTTAAGGCTTCAAAGCTTCCAGACAGCAAATGTCAGCTGCCAAAGCATCCCTTGGCAAAGAAATAAAAAGCACAGAGCCTTCTTACCAGGTTGTATCTGCAAAGATTAAAATACTGTGGCTTATAAAATAGTGAAAAAGAATCTGCCTCCTGAAGCTGTGCAAACAGTCAGGACAAGAGACAGGATCTTTAATTACTGAATTGGTTTGTAGACAAAGCTTAAAAGTAGGGAACTCACCCACAGCTAACAATGCATCCTCGAGGTCTCCTGACATCTCAGATTTAATGCTCTCTGTGATGTCCTTATTAGCAATCCCTCTGTACACATCAAAAACTAGGAGGAAGAGTCAGATAAAAAAACCAAGTGAGCTGCTTCAGTGTGTAACCCCCRAGGATCACTTTGCAAGATCAAGCTCCTCATACCCTGTACAAACATTGTCACATTACTCTGACATTGTAAGCTAAATCAGGGCTGCCCCTCAGAAATATTTAATTTTAATTTTCAGCTGTCTTGCTAATTAATCTAGCACTGCTGCTAAAATTTTCCAGAACTGCTATTTAATGCAGACAGTTTCCATACTTAGCTCTGTCCCATGGGAGTCACACTTCATTATTTCCAATTCACAGGCTGGAGCAAGTTGTATGGTTGTTTTTCTCAACTCCCTTTTTGTCTCAGGAGGGAATAAAATGGTCTAAAAGRATTGAATCAACTGGCCCTGAGAATAACTGTTGTCTCAGGAAGGGATCACAAATTAGCTAATGAACAAGTACAAAAGTRCTATCCTCAAACAAGGGAAGAAATCCAGGACACCAAAGAGGGYCGTACCTCTCAGCAGGTGGCACCTGTTCCGGGTGCAGAGGATGGACATGAACTGCACCTCATCTGTTCCCCATTTCTTCTCCCCAGCTTCATACAGGCACTTGAAGAGATTAGGAACAGACAAAGTGAGGGTAATTGAAAACACCAGGTGCATATAATGAGATTTTTACTTCATAGAACCATTTGGGTTGGAAAASTCCTCTAMYATCAYRGAGTGTTCATTGCTAAGGCCACCACTAACCCATGTCCTCATGTGCTATCTATCCTTAACGTATTTGTTAAATTCCCCCAGGGATGGGGACTCCACCCCTGYCCTGTGCCAGAGCTGGACAACCCTTTCAGGGGAAAAATATTTCCTAACATCCAATGTAGTATCCACCTAGGGCACTGATTCAGGCTTACTCACCTACCTTGAAAAACAAAGAGGTCTAGAAACAGCAGGGATTCACCCCACCCAAACACATACAAAACCAAACAATCCTTGCAAAGAAGCAAATTGCTACACACCTGAGCATCTTGTTGAGCAAGGGCCTCATCCACAAATGTTCCCTCATCTCTGTTACCCTGTGGAAGTACAAGGATGAAAAAACTGATCTCGACAGAGSAACTAAAGGAAATAAGTCCTGCAAATTCTGCATTCAAAACCACTCACTAGAAATGTATAGTGGGATTCTTAACATTGGATAGTGGGTTACAAATACATCAAAACATTAATCAGATGTTACTTTTCCTTCCTTTTGAAATGAGCAACCTTCCACTTTAATTCAAAAAGARCACATGACATTAAGGCATGCCCAGAGTGAGGCTCCTCTCCTCACACAGGTAGAAGCTTGTGTGAAACTGGTGAGGTGAAATGCCAGGAAAGTGAAATAAGAGCCAGCCTGAAGTACCTCATCACTGAGTGAGAGATGTCTAGCAGCAGTTTGAGCCCCATTATTTCCCCTATCCTGGACTTACTGTTGCGAGGGACACAAGGACTCTCCGGAACATGGAGGAGGTGTCAGAGACGATGTCRTCCTCGAGGGTAGARCCRTATTCTGCCAGAGCACACACACASACACASAGCACATCTGTTACTAACAGTTCACCAAATCACAGAGTCAGGGTTTGCTGAGCAGGAAGRGACCCACAAGGATCACCGAGTCCAGYTCCTGGGCCTGCATAAAACCATCCCCAAGGGTCTCACCCTGTACCTGAGAGTGTTGTCCAAACACCCCCTGAGCTCCATCGGGATTGGTGCTGTGACCACTTTTCTGGGATGTCTGTTCTAAGCTCCCAACCACCCAGTGGGTGAAGAACCTTTTTCCAGAATCCAACCTAAACCTCCCCTGACACAATTTCAGGCCATTCCCCAAGCCCTGTCACTGTCACCACAGAGCAGAAATTGGAGCTGCCTCTCCTCCTCCCTACATAAGGAAGTTGCAACTGCAATGAGGTCTCCTCTCAATCTCCTCCAGCTGAACACAGCAAGTGACCTCAGCTGCTCCTCACATGGCTTCTCCTCAAGGCCTTTCACCCTCTTCGCTGCCCTCCTTTGGAGGTTCACAAATAGCTTAATACCTTTCTTATATTGCAGTGATCAAAACTGCACAAAATATTCAAGGTGAGGCCACCCCTGTGCAGCGCAGAGCAGAACAATCCCCTCCCTTGACCAGTTGGTGATGCTGTGTCCATCACCTGGACAATGTTGCAACATTTGCCAGCTGTAAACCAGCTAAGTATGTGACTGAGCTCAGGGCTCTTTACACTACAGAATCATGGAATAGTTTGGATTGGATAAGCCCTCTACGGTCAYCAAGTCCACCTGTTCYCCAGCACTGCCAAGGCCACCACTGACCCATGTYCCCAAGTGCCACATCCACACAGCTGCTAAATCCCCCAAGGGATGGGGACTCCAGCACTGCCTTAGGCCCTGTGCCAGGACTGGACAGCCCTTTCCAGGMAGGAATTTTCCCAATATCCAATTTAAACMTCCCCTGKCACARCTTGAGRCCATTTCCCCTTGTTCTGTTCTCGTTCCCTGGGAGCAGAACCTGAGCCCTCCCRGCTGCCCCCTCCTRTCAGGGAGTTGTGCAGAGCCATAAGGTCCCCCCGGAGCTTCCTYTTCTCCAGGCTGAGCACCCACAGCTCCCTCAATTRCTCCTGGTGCTCCAGACCCTTCCCCACTGTTCCCTTCTCTGGACATGTTCCAGCCCCTCAATGTCCTTGTTGTGAGCAGCCTAAAACYGTCTTCAGGATTCGAGTTGCCTCAGCAGAGCCAGCTCAGAGGGACAGGCACTGCCCTGTCCTGCTGGCCATGCTGTGACTGGGACAAGCCAGGATGCCCTTGCCCTTCTTGACTTTCATCACAGCAGTCCAGCCATCATATTGAGTGGTACAGGGCAAAATTAAGAAGCACAGCCAGCATAAAACTGGCACAAGATTCRACATGGACAGACCTCCAGCTGACAGACATAACCACCCTGTTTTATTTACACCAATTCACTTTCTGGATGGAATTCTAGTCCTTCATGCAGATAGACCCTTCTGCTTCCTCACACCTCTTTGCACATACCAAAGTGGCTTCTGAGCCAGTATGAAATTGCAGAGTGSACTACATACGGAGTTTGTAGTTCTCGTTGATGTGCCGAATCTCTGCGTTGGTGCGAGAAGCCAGGATTTCAATCAGGCAGCCTTCATCTGTTCCTGCTCCCTGAGGAATGGCAGAGACAGAAGCCAAGTCTGTGACAATTGTTTTGATGAGCAGCCACAACTTTCATTTATTATATGTAAGTTAATAAGAAATTAATAATTAATATACAATTATGCCAGACCATACTGAACTGACCGTAACTCATGCAACATAAAAGACAATTGCCAAACCTTTAGAGCCCTCCTCAGTTCGTGCACATCGTACATGATGGTAGGAGTCATCAAACCAACGATCACCTTTTCAAAATTCCCACTCAGCTCAGACTTCAAGTCATCAATCAAATCCTAAARGACAGGGAGAAGAAAAGAGAAGGACACACGGCCTTTGAGAAGAGGAAGAACTCGTTCACCACTTTTTTTCATGCTCTAGCCCTCTTTGAAKGGGTGAACAAAAAGTGAACAAGACAAAAAAAAACTTGGCCAAGGAAAGCTTGTGCTCAGTGCCAGTCATACTGTTGTGGAGACTGGGATGTTGTTTACATTTCACCTGCATGATACAACCCAAAAAAGTCCACATCTCCCAATTAAAGGTACAAACATTGCTCTCTGAAGACCACCTACCCTGCCAATAGTGCTTTTATAGGTGATCAGAACTTGCTGCCGTTGGGAAACRTTCAGTTTGGTCAAGGTGTCAATGATGGCATCTTCATCCGTGCCTGGAAGAAACCAATGGAAACCAGTCAAGCTGCTTGTACCAGAATGAGAGGCCTGATGTGGGCTTGCCCAGGGTGTACCATTGGCCACACAGCCTTACACACATCCCTGCATARCCTGGCTCTCATCTGTGCACAGCCTGGCTCTCATCTGTGCACAGGTGCCTCAGCCCAGCAGCACCATGCTGCAGGAGACAGAAAGCAAGAGCCTGACTATGGGTGTTTTTATGGTCAAGACTTGGATTTCCAATGGGGTTCAAGTCACTGAATTCCTTCCAGTGCCCTCAACTTTCCCTCCAAACAGTTGCCAATAAAAACCTTCCCAATCATCAGAGCTAAAAAAGAGGGTTTAACAGTGGAAGAAGATAAACTCACCAAATCCCTTCATGGCTTTCCTTAGTGCTTGTGCTTCTTGCTCAGCACTGAAAGTCGAGATGCCCTTGACTGTTGCCTAAACCCACAGGAGTTGTGGAAGGCAGACACAAAGTGATCCATACATAGAGTTGCATTAAAAACAAACAAAAAAAATACAATCAAAGGACGCAAACATCTCCCACCCTCCAAACACGAGTGCTTTTACACCAGGATCCATCCCACATTAGAAAGAAATGGTTTGTTCTAGAGGGACATCCCAGCCACAAMAGAAATAAGCCACAAGAACACAACTGAAAGGAGAAAATACCTTAATGTGGCTGCCCATRGAGTATCTGGTTTCCAGTTAAATAAAGGCACACAGCCTGACATCTCTGTTCAGCTCAGCATCTTCCCAGCAGTTTTCCATGTAAATCATAAAAAAGGCTTTCCCCATCAAAGCCCCATTCCTGACTCCTCTAAGAGCAGTCAAGGACCATCATTCTGTTAAATAATACACCAGAAGTGCAGTGTTTCACCCAAAATGGTGATTCACAAATGGGTTTCTCTTGCCTACAGTCCAGTGCCATTTCWGGGGAAATGCACTTCTCTTAAAAAGCTCCTCATGTTCGCAAAAAAACCATCAGCAAAACACCACTTAACATTCATGTGGGTCAGGCTTTCTGAAAAAGGCAGGAAAGTGCTCCCCTTTCCCTGGAAACGTCCCAGGCCTGGCTGGATGGGACTTGGAGCAACCTGGTCTAGTGGAAGGTGTCCCTGCCCTTGGCAGGAGGTGGCACTGGATGGTGTTTAAGGTTCCTTTCAACCCAAACCATTCCATGGTTCTAAGATAACTACCATAGAAATGGCTCCATTAAAGGCTCAACATGGAAAGAATAATACGCCAGGAAGTTTATCTGGAGAAATTAAAGYTCTTTGAATTAATATCTGATCAGGTTTTCCATTAACTCCCCAAATGCAAAAGCCTGTATGTGTATTCTTCTCTACAATGAGGAAGCAGAGAGAGGCAATAAATTATCCCCCWTGAAGGGACAGACAGTGAGAGTGTTTTCCTGCTGTGTCCCTATCTGAGCTACACACCCCACRTTTATCAGGTCAGAGCAAAGGGCTGGCACAGCCTGGCACAGCAAACACACACACTCACCATCGTGCTGGGATTTGGTCAATCTGTTATTATCTGTGTCCTCAGGCACTTAGACAGCTGTAATAAAAAACACAGGGAGTGTTAGTTTTCTAGCAAATAATTAATAGAATACACCGTCCCTTGAACGTTAATGATGCTGGTTAARTAACCATCTAATTCTTTGAGGACTAAAAGATTGAGCAGCTCAAGTGAATGCCCACAGCAGCTTCCTGGAGTGTCCAGCCCTGCTTTGTGTTGAGCAAGGGCTGAATCAGGAGAGCACAGGGCAGGGCCTAGAAGGGATGTGGTGGACAGGCAGGTAATCAGCACTGGTAATTTAATATGATTCTTCACTATTGCCAGTGTGRCAGCCTGGCTGAGGCTACAAGGAGAAGCAAACAGGGCTGCCCTAGGAGTAAAAAAATTAGACTTGATTGCCTTCAAAATGCACAGCTTTGACTTTGGCAGGTGAGAGCCCAAGGGTGAGGCAGGGTGAGGATGAAGCAGGGTGAGGATGAAGCAGGGTAAGGATGAAGCAGGGTGCGAATGAAGCAGGGTGAGGGTGCTCATACAGTCCTAAGCCTACATGGATCCTGCCTGGCAGGCAGAGACAACATTGTGGTGTAGGTGAACACACAAAGGATAACCTCACTTGAGCACTGGGCAGGAGAATTCTTTTCCCTCTTAATATTTTAATAGAACACTTTATATTCAACATCCCCTCAGTCTGGTGCACTGTAGGGCTTGTAGGGCTGCAGTTTTAACTGACAAAACCCTCAAAAAAACCCAAGGCTTACCTGCCAACTGTCCAGGGTTATTCTGCTCACAATTTTCTTTTCAATCATAGAGCCTTTGCATGAACACACCCAAATTTTCCTGTATCCCTGATCACTTGACAYAACGTCACGTACCAGGACAAGGTTCACTTCCTCACAACTCAAGTTCATCCCAGCACCACAGGAGAGGATTAGGAAAGRCAGACTCAAAGGGACATCTACATACAGTAGGGTTGAATTAAATAAAAAATAAATTCAAAAGATGCAAACACAGTGAAAGCAAGTAAAGCCCACCCACCAAAGGTGTGGTTTTAGTCCAGGGTTGAGTGATCTCTCCCACTAAAGCCCTGAAGCAGAGGTGCCAGCAGTGGATGACATCTCTCCCTAATTCTACTCACGGTGCTTAGAACTGCTCTCCATGTGCCCAGACAGTTGTGCAAGAACAGRAGTGTGTTTGCTCATGCTCCACATGACTCCTACAGACCTGGAATGCACAGGGCGTGCTCTTCAGGCCGCTGAACTCTCAGTGGGGCACTTGCCATGGCTSTGTTATGCACAGGCACTCCCCAGTGCACCTCTACCTTACTACACCCTGTGCAATCAGGCAACATAGGGCAATTATTAGTGTTGAGTTTGCTTTCTCTCATCTGATCATAAATTCCAGTGATCAGATTATGACCTAGACCTCGGAAAAGTAATTTTTGCTCTTCTCTAATCTTTTACAGAAGTGAAAAGCCCATTTTATTTGCTTTTGTCAGATAGTAAATGAAGGCTTCAGAGTTCACTGCTGTTTTTATGATGCAGTTTCACCATCCAGCTGGCTTGTACACAGAAGCAGGAATATCTGACAGGCTGGTTTAGCAAGTCAATTAGACAACAAAAGGAAGGTCAGTAGCAAGGGAAAGGGAAGCACAGAAATTCTGAGTGCAAATGATCTGGCAGAAAGAAATCAAACCATGAGGAGTAGCTGCATGTACAGGATTCAGGACAAATGCCCTCCCAACATCCATTTACAGCAGAAATATCACATTGAATATTGACTGCAAGACTGATTTCTTCATCCACTGATCACTGGGCACTGAAAGAGCAGAGCACTGAAAATGCAAACTCCACTGCTCAGTCTGCAAATGCTGGTGTGAGAATGAGCTGCTGAAGTTACAGTGAGTGGGAGAGCTCAGCAGCTCAGCCAGGCTGTCCAGTAACCCTTTCACAGCCAAAGAGGTCTGCACGAAATGCTCAGGCTGGGGCTTTAGATGAGTAAAACTCTCCTAAGCCACCCCTTGGCAAACAGAGAGAGAAGGGAATTGCTCAGCAGATTTGCCAGCACTCAGCAGCTTAACACAATTCCTGGCCTTCAGCTCAATCAGGGAAAAGCAGCTTCAGGACAGGAACAATACTTCACTCTGTGTTGTGAAGAATTAAACTATGCATGCAAGAATCAGCCAGCCAGTGCTATGGTGCTGATGTTATTTGTTTCATCCCAGAATGAAGGCGTAGTACACTAAATCCGGCTTAGAACAGGCTCAAAACACTGTACCCAGGTGACAGAATGCAAGTATAGAAGGCATCCCTCCCATTACTCAATTTTTTTCCATGGATGATCTTTTCCTGGAAGGTTTTATCACCTAATCAGCCTGTTTCAAGTCCATATCAACATCCTCTAAAAGCTGAATCCAGAATAAACTTAATTTATCAGAAAACAGCTGAGACTACCAAGTGTGCTGGCCAGCTCAAGTTTAGGCTTGCACACAATCAGGTTTTCCTGACTGTGCTCAGTGCACACACACAGGAACCTGCAAGGAAAGCTTCCAAGTTTAACAGGATATAACCACAGGGCTTTTTCCCCCTTAGTTTGAGCTCACAGCGTTGCCAGTCGTACACCTCGGATCTGGATGGAAACCCAGCGCTTTGTGACCCTTCTCCTTGCAAGGCAAACACTGGACTCATCTGTCGAGTTTTCATTTGGTTCACGTTTACCCAAACACAACCCACACCCTGCCCGGATCAGCTTTTCCACAGCTCGGAAGCTTTTCCGCAGCTGTTCCCGGGGTGCCCGGGGTGGGGCTGGGGCTCGCCGCTGACACCGATCCCAGCTCAGGAAAGGATCTCCCGTCTGCCACGGGCCCCGCGCCAGCTGAAAAACCCCAGCGCCTCCCACGCAATGACCCTTACCTGGCCGCTACCCTCAGAAGGGATAAAAATACGATTTTTATAGCCTTGTACTCCAAAATTCAGCCCATCCCGAGCCGTGTCACCCCCTTGCCATGCCCTTCGCGCTCCAGTGGCCAGCGGGGTGGACGTGCCAGCCTGGGCACGGCTGAAATAGGAACCAAAATCTGAGCTCCCCGCGAACGGGAAGGGTCAGTCCTTCCTCCTTCCCACAACTGTCCCCCGTCCTTCCTCAGCCCAGGCTGGAGCCCCCAGGGCCGCCTCTGTGCCTCGGCACCGTGGGCATCGCCCAGCCCGGGGCTGCCACTCCCGCAATGCCGTATTGCCCTCTGGAAAGCGGGGATGGCGCTTGGCACCTTCCCGGACACCTCCGGCCAGGCAGCCCCGTCCCCACACCGAGGGGGATCCYCTTGGCACTCACCTGCAGTCCCACRCGGGTCCCCGGTAGGGATGGGGAGAGTTTTCGTGGCTGTCCCGGGTGGCAAAGTCCCCGCCCTGGMGACACGCGGCAGTGACGTGACGGAGTTCCAGCCCTGCTCTGCCCATCCCTAAAGAGTTGGTTGTGATCCAGAGCAGGAGAAGTTGGCAATGAGCCTCGCTCACATTGCACGTTTGGGGTTTTACACGGAGGGCTGACGGGCTGCAGTGCCTTCCGTGCTCCCCGGCATTTCCAGTAAAAATCCCTGGGAGCAGAGGGGGCTCTGGCTGCAGGCTCTGGTCTCTCACTCGTGTCCGCAGCAGGGCACACCGGAGGGGGGAGCGAGGAGGACGGCGATGTGGAGCACTCAAGCAGGAACAGCCTCGAGCAACAAATCCTGTTCCTCTCCTGGGGCTGTTTGCGGAGATTTCTTATCGATGTCCTGTMTCCTGTGCTCGCAGAGCCCCTCTCTGGGTCTTCAGCATCCTTACGTCTCGTCTTAAGAATTCTGCATTGCAAATGGCCATGATGTCAGTAAGGGTGATACTTTGCATAAAGATTATTCATTTTGCCCMAATAAATGGCAGCGCCTTCAAGCCAAAACCCCTCAAGCAAAGGGATTTCAGTTCTACCCTGAGGGGAYCCTGCCGGGGTCAGCCATGAACACGATCACAAGGCTGACAGAGGGAAATCAGCCTTGCAATGGACATATCTTGTCTTCAAGTGTTTATCCTCGGGAACTTTGGTCTTCTCTGATGTCAGCAGTGCTGTTATTTCCATGGGTAAACCAACCCTCTCTGTTTTTTTCCAGCTCATACAACAGCTCCGTCTCATCCCTGTGCCTTGTTGCACATGCTCGTTTGTGGGAAGGGACCTAAATTTAGCAGCTTGGATGCAGGCAGGCTGTGCCCCAGTGAGCACGTCTGCGTGGTTTATTTATTACAGCTCCCACTGCAGCTCAGCCTCCTGAAACAGCACCATGGAGCCCAGCATCTATGGCTGATGCGAGGGGACATGGGCCAGGGGAACAGAAAAACCAGGTTCAAGCCTCAAGCCCTCTCCTTTTGCACTGCAGAGTGTCCTTSCTTGCAAAATCTGGCATTTATCCTGAGCAGGATTGGAGCAGCATGTATCATAAATTGTCTCTAAGGAGAAACTCTTCTCTTTCCTACATCTGTGAAAGTTTCCATTCTCATCGCTTTTCTCACGTCAGCAGTCCTTGCTCAGGGCCCATTTTAATCCACCAGCAGAACTGCTATGTTTCTCCATCTTACATTGCAAGGGATTTTTTTAGACTGTGTGTTTTCAGCCTTCTGTTTGCTTCCCAATCTCTTCAGCCCCCAGGACTGGAAGGCTCTGTCACTGCAGTCACTGGTATACACAACAGTAATTATTTAAGAACATGAGTTATTAATTTTCTTTGCAAGTTATTTATCCTTTAAATATTGCACCAATCCTGCCATTTGTGATTTTYGTAATTAAACCTTTCTTTTCCCCCTGGGAGAGGCTCCAATTAGGAGGAATACTTGAAGATACAAAGTGTTTGTGTGGATGTTTTTGGCCACCTGGAATTAGTCATGTAAGCGTAGTCCATTCAGCAGCCAGGTCCTGATGCAATGCATAGCCAAGTTCCTTGTAATCTTGGCTGGTTCTGGGTGCTGGCTCCAGAGCCATCTGGTTCAGTCATGATTATTTGAACCAAAAAAAAAAAAAGAAAAAAAAGGCACAAAAGCTTCTGAGCATGCTGAGAATTGGCAGAGCTTCTCTGGAAGGTGGATGGAATGACAGGGAATTTCGGGAACCCTATTGTACCTTGCTATAGGAKCTGCTCCCTATGGGAAGGCAAAGGATTGTTGCTGTATTTTCTTACACAAGTTTCAGGTGACAAAGCTTTGTGCCTCCAGGAGCCCTTTGTGTAGGGTCTGCTCAGCTTTCAGCATGTTGTCTTCATCTCTGAAAGGATGGAAAGGCTGTGGTTACCCTTCAGTATCTCCAGCTGAGGCACTGTCTGGCATAAGCTTTGCTGTCCTTGCATCAAAAGAGGGACAGCCAAGGGGCAAGCCCACAGTTCCTCTCGGTGCAGTGACAGAGCACACTGTTCTTCTGTTCATGGRTATTTCATTTGTCCCATCAATTATTTTAACCAAYGTTATTRTAAAGCTCTCAAAACCCCAGTCTCTATTCAGTTCAAGCCACAARCATGCTTTCTATTCCCATTCCATCCTGCTGTTCTCCCATGTACAAAAGACCTAATAAAAATTAAGTCACAGAAAGACAGGGAGGGCAGTGTGCATTAAATAAATAAATTGAACTCAAGCAGCAGCCCATTAGGAAGTGGGTATTTATTCAAAGTCCCACCATGAAAACAGAGCTGATYCTCTAGAAAATGGCAGCATTTGTTTCTGCCTGAAGGATCTAACCTTTTAAATTTGCACCTCAGAGAACAARGGAGCCTTGTGCTAGGAGGAGAGATTTTCTGTTTGTCCTTTCATTAGCAGGTACCTGCCTTTAGCTTTAGAGAAACAGCCTCACCTCATTCACTGAGCCCCAAACTCTGTCATTAATGAAGTCATTCACCCAGTGAGGGTCAGAACTTAGGCCTTTGGGGGTTAAGCAGTTGTTTTCCAGAAGTTCATAAGGGAAGTGCTCATTTTCATACCTGACCAAAGGCAGTTTTCAAGCAGCAGCCCCTGAWAATGGGGTTATTTGAGAGTTGCACAAGTGCTGTGGGAGCGTGCTGGATGCTGTAGCTCAGTCAGCGCTGTCTCCATAGCAGCGGTACCCGAAGGTAGGGTGGAGGCTGAAAACCAGCMCTTGCTTTTTGAAAGCATTGACTTCTGTGTGCTTGTAAGAGGGTAAAGAATGTTCATATTCTGTGTATTAATACCACAATAGTCCCAAAGTGAGCTGCAGTTGTTAGGGCTCACTAACCCAGAGATCCAGGGGCACTTCTGACCTTAGAGCAGSGGTGTGTCCTTACTTGCTGTTCAGCACTGCACAGGGTGAAACAGCCATTTCCACAAGTCAGAGGTGTTTTGGGAAGAAGTGTTTTGGGGAAGACCTTAGGAAGAGCCATCAGGGAGCTTTTGATCTATGATTGGAGCAAAGCCCTTTAAACAGAAAGAAAGGAAGGAAGATGAAACACTACCAAAAATGGGTAAGCAGTGCTTATTTGAGATGGGAAAACMGAACTACTCCAATTCTCATAAGAAATGAGAGTGTTCTTGGCTCTTCATAACCATTAGWAGTAGTGCTTCTGCACTCAGTGTTATCAGGGCAATGCACAGCACTCTCCCTTTTAGCAATCCAGCCAGGATTTAGAGCCCTGAGCACAGCATACCAGCACTGCTATGYAAGCCAAAGGCTCTCTGGGTAGATTACATAAACATAAATGCCACACAAGGCCAAGAAGGAGCTGGGGAGCAGAAKTGATTTGAGAAAATTGCTGTAACCCAAAACACCTTTAAAAAAGGGCCCACCTGGACATGGGGGCCCGCATGCCTTAGACAATTAGCTGCAAGGTGAGACAGMAATGAGCACTGCAAGGAGGAGACAGGCAGGAGTCAAATTCCRCGTTTCAAATGTGCTTCAATCACAAGGTTTTTAAGGTGGGGGTGTTCAGCAGGCAGGCACACAGGAGGGGATCCYGGCTGCTCTCACGATTCCTGACAGCTCTAACAGCATCCCTGGTGCTGGGGCTCTCCACAGTGCTGGCCCCAGCATACGCTGTGCTGACACTGCCTCAGAGATGCCCACCCACYGTGCCTTTCTCCCACAGAGAAGCTGAAGGCTGCGCTTGGCCACGGGCCCAGTCTGCTGTTTTCTTTTATTCACTAAAGCTATAAACAGCAGGGAATGCAAACAGKCCGGGGCCATCAGTGCCCGCTGGCTTCATTGGCTGCCTGTGTCCATGAACCCATCCAAAGGGGGATGGCAGTCAGCAAATCYCTCCAGAGTGGGCTTGAGGTGATGATTAGGCATTTGTGGGGTGACACTTTTCCCTTCAAAAGACGCCCTTGSTCTCATACAATGTCTTTTGCTTTTGATCCTACTTGTGTTGTCTCACCTGCTATTCAAAGTGAAAACAGGGCTGCTGTTAACATCCCCAGCAGAGCCTGAAGCACAGGAATCTTCACAGGAYCTGTGGCTGCCTGATAAACCATTCCCATGACTCCCTGAGAGAGCTGGACTGCTTCCCTTATGGGGACTGGCTGAGTTGGAGTAGTTCAGCCTGGAGAGAAGGTTCTGGGGAGACCTTAGGGGCTCCTACTAGAGCCTACAGGGGCTCTCAGAGAGCTCTGGAGGGACTTTGGACAAGGGCCWGGAGTGACAAGACAAAARGGGAATGGCTTCCTGCTGACAGAAGACAGGGTTAGATGGGATGYTGGGAAGAAATCCTTCCCRGTGTGGRTAGGAAAGCCCTGGCAYGGGATGCTCAGAGAAGCTGTGGCTGCCCYRTCSCTGGAATTGTCCAAGGCCAGGCTGGATSGGGCTTGGAGCAAYCTGGGCTCATGGAAGGTGTCCYTGTCCATGGCAGGGGTGGAACTGGATGRRCTTTAAGGTCTTTTCCAACCCAAATAATTCCRAGATTCTATGAATTACACTGTTGTGCTATAGCCTGCTTACATGAAGGACAAGAGACGAGCTAGAGACCACTGCAATTGCACTTATGTTACATTTTTTGAACAAATATAATAATTTTGTCTTGGACAGCTTTCCCCCATCAACACTAACTGATGTAGTTTAAGCCCCAGGCCACAAGGCATTTGCCAGCTCCATGGAGAACCACTGAGGGAAATTCCCAGTGCCCTGTGGAAGCTGTAGATTATCTGTGGTCCCTTCTTCCCCAGAGCTGCAGGCTATGAACTGCTACCAGCAGTACTTGCTTCCAGCAGCTTTAAATGCAGTATCAAACCTAAATTTCGTTAMATGGGCTTAATGAATGTTTAATTAGCATACATATAGTTCTAAAGAGGAACTTTCACTTTTTTCTTCTTAATTGATATCTGCCACCATGTAGTTTTATCTTTCTTAGCTGCTCTGTAATTTGGCCCTAACCCAGCTCTRGGAGATGGAAACAGCTAGGACTGCCCAGCTCAGGATGACTTCTAAGGCACACACATACTCATTCCTTCATGGAAATGGGATAGAAACACTGGCTAGTTCAGTGCTTGGGG